CAGAAAGGAAGAGCAGCCCCAAGAGAATCACTAGGCACAGGGAAGGGGTGTGGGGAAATATTCTAAAAAGAGTAAGGCACAGGATCCATTTCCCATCTGTTTTGCATCTGGGGTTAGAAATAGGACACAGTGCTCTGAACTACAGGAAGAGCCTAAAAGAAGACGTTAAGAACAGAGAGTTGTGGAGAACGTGGACCTCTCATCTGCTGTAAGTCCTCTATCCAAGCCTTGGAGTGTGTGTGTGTGTGTGTGTGTGTGTGTGTGTGTGTGTGTGTGTGTGTATCTGTGTGTGTGTGTAGGGGGGCATTTATGAGACTCACGTTCTTTTTTAAAAAATCGACTTTATTATTTAGAACAGTTTTAGATTTAGAGAAAAGTATGAAGATAGTACAGAGAGTTCCCTTATAACCTATGCCCAGTTTCCCTATGATGAACACTGTACACGCACGTGGCTATACGTGTTTGATGTATGGTACATTTGTTACAATTAATGAACCAATACAGATACGCTATTACTAACTCGAGCCCATACCGTATTCAGATTCCCTTAGTTTTTCCCTAATGTCGTTCTCTAGAATCGCATCCAGAATATATTACGTTGAGTTGTCTCATCCCCTTTAGCTCCCCGTGGCTGTGACGGTTTCTCTTGTTCTGAGTGACTTCCACAGTTTTGGAGAGACCCAGGTTCTTTCATGTTGAACTCATGCCCGCGCTACTCCTTCTGGCTTCTCCATCTTCCTGCAAGCTCCTTATTCTTCAAAGGTCATTTTAGAAGGCTTAGGGCTTGGTCTCAGGGTCGGTTCTTGGACATCTTCTCTTCTCCCTTTCCACTCTCAAGCCTTCAAAAGCCTCTCTAAACCAGCATTCCCCAAATGTGTGTTTCCGATCCAGACTTTGCTTCTGACCTTTGACATCGTCTAACCGGCTGCTACTTGACATCCCACTTGAAAGTCTGATAGGCACCTGAAACTTACCCTGGCCCAAACAGAATCTCGACCACCCCAGCCCCCAGCCTTATCCTCCCCTGTCGTCTCCATCCTAGCACAAGGCTCTGCACTGACCCTGTTGCTCAGGCCAGGAGCCTGGGAGTCTGCCTTGCTCTGTCTTCTCTCAACCCGCAGTACTCAGATCACTGAGGCCTGATGAGTCCTCCTCTTAGTGAGTCTCTTGTGTCTGCTCACCTCTCCCCAGGCCCCTGCACCCCCACTCTAGCCTGGGTACCCCCACTGCATGCCTGGATTCAACAGTAGCTTGTTTTCCATACAGACTCCAGGGAAAGCTTTTCAAATGAACTCATACCCTGACTCTGCCTTACAACCCTCAGCGCCTTCCAGTTGCACTTGGAATCCAACCCCCAGGCCCTCCCCTGGCCTACAAGGCATCTGCAGTCTGGTGCCTCCCTGCCATCCTCTCAAATCCCATCTATTTGTTTTTCCAAATGTCCAAGGTCTTGGGATGCCTCGGTGAACACAAAATGGTCCTTGTGGTGTTCGCATTCTGGTGGGGAAGACAGACCATACACATGAGTGAGATAGTGTAGTGGAAGACTTAGACACTAGGGAGTAAAGGAGGAGTAGCGGAAGGGGAAGGTTCAGCTGGTGGGGGGTGGAGACAGCCTGTGGTAACAACAGGCTGCTCAGCTGGGTCTCACAGAAGATGAGCCAAGAGCTCAGACTGGCAGGAAGCAGGGAGTCAGCCAAACAGATATCCCAGGAGTGAGTGTCAGCAGTTATGGCAAAGGTCCTGAAGCTGGGGCGTGCCTGGCATGTTAGGGAACTGTAAGGTCCAGGTGGCTGGAGTGGAGGGAGAAGGTGGGACCGGGACAATTTCCTGTCACCCATCCTCCTGCCACTAGGAACTACATGGGTTCTCTCACTCACTTTTGCACCAGCTGTTTCCCTTACCCCAGATTCTCCCTCCTCCTCTGTCTGGCTACCTCATTCTGTAGGTCTTGGCAGAAATACTGTTTCCTCAGGGAGGTCCCCCTCCATCATGTGTTCCCAGAGCACCCTAGACTTCTCCTGTATTAATATTCCCCACAGAATTATGATCCCTTCACTCTGTTTCCTCTACCATCCTATACTTAACTTTGATGGCATGGGGGGTTGAGTCCTGTTTGCAATGCTCTCCCCAGGGCGTAGTCTGGGGTTGGGCTGGGCGTGAATCCCCAGTAGAGACTTGTTGAAAGAATGAATGAATGAGGGAATGAATAAATGGACCCACATGAGGAGCTCCGGTCTGTATGAGGAAAGTGGATAATTTCTCAGAGAGTAGTCAGGGCTGGAACCGAGGAAGGCCCCACCTATTGCCTGCCTAGGGATTATCTGGGGTGTACAGAATTGCCTGGTGTTTCCCCTAGAGGGCTCCCATTTTGAGCTCTGCCACCAAGTAGGGCACAGAAGAGGGAGGGTGTTTGGGGTTTGGCCAAGACTCTTTTTGTTCTTTAACAAAAGAACTAAGGGGATAAGTAACCTCATCTGTGGAAGAAAATTCCGGGACAGAAAAGCACCTACTCCAGAGGGTTCAAAGGGAATCTGAGCTTCTTCTCACACCTCCCCACTCAGACCTGGGAGGTGGGGCTGCACCCCAAGGGCTATGTCAGCATCACAAAGCCAGACTTTCATAAGGAGCAGCTCTCAGACCTCGGATTCAAAGAAATGTCCTTTGCACGCCTGCCAACCCCCTTTGCATGAAAGGCCAACCTGTGTCCAGCGGAACCTCAGTGCCCAACGCGAGGCCTCTCCCTTTAGGGACTGGGGTTTGGAGAGTGAGAAGTTCTCCCTGGATCTCTGCTGACGTACTACTGATGACTGATAGTCTTTCCTCAGGACGATGCTGACACACACAGACAACTCTTATCTGTTCTCACCGTTTCGGAACTGGGAGATGCTGGTGTAGTTGTGATTTTGGTTAAAGTTAGCACACACAATTTCCAGAGGAGATACTATTACATAATGTACAATATACCCCAATTGGCTGAATACAACGCAATCTTGGTTGAAGCCCAAAAGATTTGCGTTTCTCCTGTCCTTCCTGTGGCCTCCTGTCCTCCTTCTCAAGCCCTGATTATTGGGAAGAGCCACTTGGCATTGATCACCGGTGACCTTCATGATTCTACCTCCAAAGCCACCTCCTCTTGTCCGGTTTGCTCCATTGCTTCCCTACAGGATAAGGCCTCAATTTGGAAGTGCCAAGGAGACCATGGGCCAACCCACATCAACCAGTCTTCTCTGCACATCAGGTGACACTTGAGGGATCTTGCTTTGTTTTTAAACATTTAAAAATTAAGCATAAAGCCCACTAATCATTAAGTGTGATGAAGCTCAATGAAATATATATATATATATTTTTGAGTTGGAGTCTCACTCGGTTGCCCAGACTGGAGTGCAGTGGCCGCTTCCGGCCACCGCAGCCTCGCCTGCTGGGCTCCAGTGATCCTTCCGCCTCAGCCTTCTGAGTAGCCAGAATTACAGGCATGCGCTACCACGCCCGGCTGATTTTTTGACTTATTGTAGAGATGAGGTCTCGCTACCCAGGCGGGTCTCGAACCCTACCCAGGCGGGTCTCGAACCCGCAGGCTCAGGCAATCCACTCACCTCAGCCTCCCAAAGACGCGGGATTACAGGCTGAGCCACCGAGCCCGGCTTCAATGAAATATTATACCTATGTTCATCTACATAACCACCTCTAAGATTGGGACGGAAAACATTCCCTGCACCCCAGAGGGCTCCCCTCTGCCCCTTCCCAGTCAACATCCACCTTCTCTCAGGGTAAGCACTATCCTGGTTTCTGTCACCATAGATTTGTTTCTTTTGTTCTAGGATTTCATACAAGTGGAATAATACAACCTACTTGTTTGAGGTTCCTTTACTGCTGACTTAAGGATTCCACTTTATGGCTCTATCCCAGCTTGGTTATACATTCTCCTGTGCACATTGGGGTGGTTTCCAGTTTTTGGTGATCCCTGATGAAAATGCTAGGAACATCCTCCTTTGAGTTTTCAGGTAAACATGAGGGCTCGTTTCTGAGGGGCAGATGCCTGGCAGTGGACTTGCTGGGTCAAGGTAGGTGAATGTTCAGTTATAGTAGGTACTACCAGCAGTGATTGTATCAATTTGTACATTGTGCTTTTGAAATCTCCACAACGTAGATTTGTTTTGGACACATTGAGATCACTTCTGAGCATAAAGTTTTTGATTGGCAGGAAGGAGGAAGGTGTTAGCAAAGTTGCATCTTAGATAAACACAGGACTGAATTCAGAACTTGGAAGAGATGAAGGTAGGACCTTGGAATATTTATCCTTGAACCCTGGAGTGAATTGGAAATATGTCTCTAGGTGTCATTATTTCCTCCCCCATGAGGCTGTAAACACCATGGGAACAGGGGCTGTGACTTATTCAGGGATGTGTCTTCAATGCATAGTGTACTTCTTGGCACCTAGGTGCTCAGTAAATAAAATTTAGCTTAGTAATTATAGTAAATGGTTACTGGACAAATCCTAGTGATGGGCACTGTGATAGGACTTTACTGATAATGACCTAATTTAAGCCTCATGATAGTCTTTGTAGATTTGGGAATATCGAAGTTCTGTCTGTTTTGTGGACAAAGAGGGAAGCTGAGGCCTTGGTCAGGCTGAGATGTATAGCTGGCAAGTGGCAGCTTTTTAAAATTTTATTTTAAAGATGTGGGGTATAATTCAGGGTTAGATATACGGATGTTCATTATGCAGTTACCCTTGTTGTTGAGGTGTGTCCCCCCTTCCCCAGGCAGATTCCCACTACTGCCAATCTCGCCTCCCTGATCTTCCTCACCCCCACACCCCCGTGGTTTCC